AATGCAATTCTTTGTTCTGCTCATAAAGACCAAATCGGTGGAGGGTGTGTCCTCACTTGAATCACTTCTGGGTAATAAAAAGAGCGAATGAGACCCAGGTATACCGGGGAAGATAGAGACCGGATCATTTCTGCGAACAACCTGTGGATGTGGCAATGACATACCTTGCAGCAGAGAAGTAGGAATGAGGGCCGTCTGTGGGGCTTTAAGATCCCCCACAAGGATCCAGGGAGAGGACAATGGCAGTGGCAGTCAAGTCGAAGACATTGTCGCCTTTCCCACCCTCCCTCCTGACTCCACGGAGGCCACAGACTCAGGAGAGGGAGCGGTGAGAGAGGTGGAGACAATGCTGGCCCGCCCACCGTGACTTCTCTGGCTAGAAGTCAAGGCTGAGTTGGGGAGCAGGTAAAGCACGCTATTGGGAATGCTGGAGAGTGAATTCTAATGATAGACTCTTTAATAGTTGGGAGTAACTCAAGAGGGACAGCATCTGCTCGGCCTCCTGTTAAGGAACAGGAAAGGGCATTTCCCTGGATGAAGTGCCTCTACTAAATCCCTACTGTGCAGTGCATCTCATGGCCGTGGGAGTAACTAGCCTTGGAATAAATGTCTCCATTAGGACATTAGAGGAGCAAGACAGGGTGACAGGTTCTTAATGATGTCACTGAGCTGCTGGATCATTTCCCCCACCTCTACACTTACGGTGCAGTGAGGTAATAAATTTCAATGCTGGGGGTGCCAGTTTGAGTCAGAGTTTGGTGATTTGCCACTAAGAGCGCTTTCATTGGCACAGTCGCCTCCCTGCTGCCTTCACTAATTTATTGTTTGCGCTGAAGTGCACATCACAACTTGGTCCTGTTTGGGGATGCAATATCAGTAAAATGATCTCAGACTCATCTACTGTTTTCCCATCTGAGATCTACTTCCTTTTGCAGTACCTGAAGTTTTATATTAGCTTCATGAAGAAAGTCTCCCAAAGGAACCATTTTAGGTTCCTGGAAAAGAGAGGGCTGATGGAAGATCTATCTCTAATTGTATTCCCTTCGGTAATCTCGCTGAAGCCTGATTTCGGGGATGGAAACGAAGAGGCATATGTGCCTGGGGAAGCAAGGGGTGGGAGGAGGGACAAAACACTTTTCGGCTCCCAGGTGAGCCTAGCACAGCGGCACACTTTTGAAAGCTGGGAAACTTACGGGCAGTGGAGCTGATGTAGCAGATTCAAGAAATCCCCAGGGTCTTTCCCATCTGTTTCTTTGCTCTTTGAAATGTCTCCTTTGAGGGCTTGCAATAGTGTCCATGATCTCTCTGAAACCATTAAGGGTCATTCTCCTCGGTGGGCGACTCTGGTATCTACCTTCCACCTTGGAGACTTTGCTCTGACGACTGTTAACTCCTGGCTTCGGAACTGGCTGTTACAGGTCCTGGCTCTTTGGAACTGAGTTCTGGCTCCTAGCACCCCTGTTGGACCGAGTGTACTGTCCCTGTGGGTTTGCGAGGTTAGAGCTCTTGAAGGGAGCAGAAAGCCCAGCTTGAGAACTACTAGGCTGACCTTCAAGTTGCCTCTGTCCTCCTAAGGCCTACCTAAGCTTTGATACTTTAAAAATTGGAAAAGGACCACCGAGGGAGATATTTACTTTCCGTGTTGCTTTGTCCCCTGCTCCACCTGATGCATCAATAACTGTCCGTGTGAAGGGGAAGGAGAGATGCAGCCTCAAGAAACAGATTGTTCCCAAAGCATCACCCCCACAAGGCACATGGTCTCACGTGTTGCCGTAGAATGTACACCACATGTTCAAGGTAGCATCTCCCCCGTGTGTTTAGGCTGGATGTACATTGCAATGAATAAACACATAGGAAGAAATTAAAGCGGGGGAGACCTAACCACTAAATTTCTATCGATATAACCAGGAAAGAGATGATTCTTTACATCCAACACAGATGCCTAGAACCATGTTTCTTAGTGAACTTCCCTGCCAGGCTTAGAACTTACACTCCTGCTCATGAGTCAAAGCCAAGCTTAGTGGTTTGAAGTGCAAGGTGGATCAAAGACCTTGCACTTCATGCCTTTAACCCTTGGAGGAGTCATTCTGCAAAATCAGTAAGAATGAGCAATAATTCTATGGACAGCAAACCTTTCATCCATTCACAGGTGATAGAGATTTTGCTAGTGCTCCAAGTACTGCGCCCTTTATTAGTTCATCCATCATTCGTGCGCTTAAGTCTGGAACGAAGGAGTTCCCGAGTCCCCCGAGCATGACCAGCAGTGGAGGTTCAAGTCAAAGAAAGCTGGAGAGGGCAATTTCAGTTCAATGAAGGCTTTCATGCGCTCCCTCTGCCTGTTAAGTAGCCCACACCTATGGTCTGAATGGTAAGAAGCCTGGCTAGACCTGACACTAAAAGAAGAGAGGATGTTTTCACCTGTGGGCCTCATCTATGGATCATTTCTATGCATTTTGAACGCTAACATAAAAAGATTTTTGAAGCTGCCCTGGGCATTGATTTCAACGTCTGCATTAGTCACGTATTCTCGGATCATTCAGCATGATTCATTTTTTGGCTACAGAACTCTAATATAGCACATTAGTTGTGATATAAGCCTGTGAAATCTTTACAACGGTTTGGGGAGAAGTTGATCAGTTGGCTATGATGGGTTGATACACGGGTAGACTAATGAGGAAGCATTAACGCTTCTCTTCCACCAAAATCCAGCCTAACTAAACTTCTCCCCGCTTTGAGCACATCAGTTCTAGATGACGTAGCAGCTGTGTGCACCGGTGCCACCCCACCCAGAGTGCAGGTCAATCCAGTAGTGCCCAGACCTGAGACGGAGCCCAAAGCTGTTTGCAGTCAAGTCAGTTGGATTCCAGCTCATAGTGACCCCATAGAACAGAGTAGAACAACCCAGGATTTCTAAGGCTATAAATCTTTACGGATGTAAGTGGTCACATCTTTTTTCCCCCCTGTGGAGTGGCTGATGGTATCAAACTGCCAACGTTCGAGTTAGCGACCAAGCATTGAACTACCAGGACTCTTTAAGATGGAGCAGTGAGTGCATAGTTCTCACCCTTGGTCTTGACTGCTCCCGAAGCAGTGAGCAAAGGCGGCCCAAACTGTCCAAAGCAGGTACGCCTAGATCAGAGGTAAAGTATGTGCGTCAGGATGACACGAGCTTCGCCACAACTATTATCCCCCACATGTTATAGAGGAGACGCCAAAGTATGTGCAGTTCATCTCACCTGCCCAAGGTCACCCAGCTGGTCGGTGGTGGAGCCAGGATTCAAACAGGGGAAATCTGACTTCAAAGCCCCTGGCCCAAACCACTATTCTATCATCGCTCCCATGTGATGGCCTCCTTCCTTGTATACCTCCACCTAGATGCCAATTCAATTTGGATCAATGATTTTCTTTTGGTAATTCACTTTCTTTCAGTTGCAGCAATGAAAATGTACAATGTTGCCTCCATATATATGAGGGTGGGGGGGATGAATACCTTTCATTTGAGATCACGTCAGGAGAGGTTCATTGAGAGATGGAAGAAGTTTAAAAAAAAAAGATATCTCATGCAACTTGTTTTTGAGTTCAGAAAACACTTTTCAATTTTTTATTAAAATGTTGTTTGTTGTTCTCCAAAGAATATAGAAATACATCTGGCAATAACCGGTTGGAAGTCAATCATTTGCTGCAAACACACATAAGAAATATACCTGCCAAAAATTCTGTCTCATAGAATTTATTAAGTTGTACATAAACGTTATCGGAGTAACACCAAAGGTGGCTACTTTTGACAGATTCTTCTAAAACAGACACGACTGTCTGATGGGTTGGTTTCCCTTGATGAGAATAACGATTGTGATGGTTTCCACAGGTAAGCTCGAAGGACAACGACATCAACCACCAGGGTAAGGCATTACAGATGGCATGCACGAGGAGTGCAGGTGGCAGGGCAGCCTCAGGTGAGGAAGTGGCAGCCCCCTATCTCTGCCAGGAGACAAAACAAGGCTGCTCCTTCTTCGAGGGTCAGGTCTTTGGGGTCACATTCAGAAACACAAGACATCACACCCGAGACAAGGCAGGAAAAGGAGACTACCTACACGTAGTGTGCGTTCCCTTGGGAGAACCACTGCCTTTGGGACACGGCAGTCAGTTTGCTGGTGAGAATACCCAAATGGCCTTTCCAGCCTGCTCAAGACCCTGGCGTTGTCCGTCGTCATGATCAACAAGAGCACGCCACCTAGAGGAGGAGGAAGGAGCAGAGCTGCCCGGGGCTTGGCCGGGCTGAGGATGAAGTGCTGTCAGTGGTTTGGATTCAGCGTGGCTGAAATCCACCCCTGCAATGGATTTGAATGACTTGTGAGCACCTCCAGGAGACTAACCAGATGGGGATCGTGTCCTCCCGTTTCCACTCAGTCTGGCTCCGGCAACACTTGCCTGGGGAGGAGGAAGCCAAGAGTTCGCACAAAGCTCGGTGTTGCCTTGGCACATCACAATGACTACCGGGGTTATTCCTCCTCCTTATTCAAAATGAAGGGAGAACCCTAGCTGTGCAGGGGAGACTGGATGTGCCTAGATTCTGGGGTCCTCCTCAGACAGAACAGAGGCATCCTGATTGGAGTCTTCTCAGTGTGGAGGCCAAAACCACCATTCCTCATGAAGTATGTTTCCTTGGACAGTTCCAGAGAGCCCAGTTCCCGCTAACTTTGCAATCCAATTCCCTTGTCATTTCAAAAGCGAGCATTAGAAAGGCTTTTTCAGAGGAGAGGAGGGAGGGGGAACATGATAACACATGACCACACACACACCCCCTCCAGGGGGAAGAACAATAGAAACCATGGGGAAGATATGAAAATAATAATAATTTATCATCTATCATGGTGTGATGGGGCGGTAAGGGAGGTCAAAAAGAGGAGCTGATACCAAGGGCTCAATAGAAAGTAATTAGAAAAAAACAGAAAGCCTAGAAAAGAATGAGGGCAACACATGTACCAATATGCCTGATATAACTGATGTATAGATTGTAATAAGAGTTGTAAGAGCCCCCAGTAAAATGATCTTTTAATTTAAAAAAAGAGAGAAGGGTTTTTCAATAATCTCCACTGATTTTCTCATAGCACCCCTTCATGTGGGACAAGGAAAGACGGCGGCATGGTGGCATTTCTCAGGCCTTCTCCACCTCTTTGCTTCTCTCTCTCCTTTGTGGAGGAAGCAAAACTGAGAGGGAAAGAAGAGCATGTGCAGTTTCCCACCGAAGCCATGGCTAGAGGTAGGGCAGCAGGTGGGCAGGCGTGCCTTGGTGATGCTTGGAGAACGTCAGCTAATTGAGAGCAAGAGCTCTCCCTTTCCTTTCTGGGCACACTCATTGTGTTGTCTGTCACCCCTTACTCTAATCCCAGTGGGAGGGATGGAGGGCATCGCGAGGAACGGCCAGCCCTATAATTGGACCACCTTGTAAAGGGCATTGTCATATTGTCTTTGCGTCCACACCACTCCACAGTTTCCTGGGGACTCCCATAGTGTCCCTGCTCCCCCTGAGCTCCCAGAGTCTCTTCCTTCCATGTGCTCCACTGGACCCAGGAAGCTGAGGAGTCCTGGGGAAATGCGACCTGTTCCAAACTGCTCCGCTTTGGCTCCACTGGAGGAATAGGAACTTCATGAAGGACACGGATCACTGACAGATAGAGGGGGCTTCAAAAAGTCCATAGGGGGAATGGAATTGAAAGATAATGGAATTTGTCCACAGACTTTTTTGAAGTCCCCTTGTATACTTATAAACCTCAATAAAGAGGAAATTTGATTTTACTTATATTTTCCTTTCAAGCAAAAGCATGTGGCCCACGTAAAACGCATCCACCTGTACTTGGCTGCAACTCTAACACACACATCTGGGAGCCGGAACGAAGGGAGCACAGGGCACGGGAGCTCCCTGTGGTTCCCACAAAGGTACAGTCCTCGCTAGGAATCCACCTTTGGAAAAATGCTCACTTTATTGTTTCTGCTCATCTTCCGTTCCACCCTGCCTGCCTTGGGCATCTTGGTTTGGATCAACTCCTCTGGGGTGTTACCCAAGGGTGGAAGCAGCCGCTTCTTGCTGTTCCGCGTCTCCGAGAGCCACTGCGGAGGTAACTCGAAAGGCCCAAAGCCAAACTGTAGGGTGTACTTGTCGGGGGCAGTGTCAGATTCCCCGGGGGCTGCTGGTGCCACCTGGGAGGTAGAGTCCACTGTGCCCGGCGGTGGTGAAGGAGGGGTGAGCTGTGCGCCCTGCTGGGCCTCCGGGCAGGTGGGAAGTATCTCCTTGGCCTGGAGGTCAGCTGAGCCTACATTGTATTTGGCTTCACTCTCCTCTTCATCCTCCCTGGGCTTAAAAATCTGCTGCTGCCCGATGTGGAACATCTCCAGGAGCTGGCTGCCTGAGCGCATGCTGGTCTCCAGGCTGGCATCGGCCACCCCACTCCCCGTGCTGACCACGTTACGGCGACTGTACCGCTGGTGCAGCTGCACCAGGGTCCCCACCAAGCACTTGCGGACGGATTTGTTGACAGTCAGAAAGAGCACGGGGTTCGCCAGCAGAGAGACCTTGGGCAACCAAATGGCAGTGAGCAGCAAGAACACAGAAGTGTTGGGAACGTGGAGCACAGTCTGGTAGATGACCAGGGTGACGTAGGGCACACTGCAGAGGATGAAGACCATCACCATGGAGAGCAGGGTGGCATGCAGCTCGGCCTCCCGCTGGGAGGCATAGGGGATGGAGATGGTGTTCTGTGGGGTTCGGAGTGCGGCGATAATGACCTTCTTCTTCTGGCTGGCGCTCAGGGCCCGGCGGATCAGGATCAAGAAGAGGAACACTACTACCACAGGCACAATGACCGTGGTGATGTTATAGAGCAGGACATAGACCAGGTGGCCCCAGGAGTAGCTCCAGACATCCGTGCAGGTAGACATGGCATAGATGTCGGCCACATTGGTCACCGCAAACACAGGGATGCTGGCCACCACTGCGTGGGCCCAAATGTACATCACCAGTTCCCGAGACTTGGCATCAGATATTTTTCTCTCCAGTGGATAGAGGACTGAGTAGTACCTGAAAAACAGACAGACAAAAAATTCATTCCACGGGAGAAAATATTCTTCAAATTAAAGGGCAGAATGGTACTTAGAATCCACTTGCTGCTCTACAGGAGAAAAAAGGTGGCAATGAGCCATAAAGATTGACAGCCTGGGAAACCCTGTGGGGTAGCCCTGCTCTCTCCAGTAGGATGGCTATGCATCAAACTGACCCAACAACAGTTGGCTGCTTGTTATGTTTTGTTTTGTTTTTTAATATATTATCAGAAAGTACCCCAGGGGCGAATGTGTTTGCACAAGATTACTAACCTTAATGATTGGTCTTCAAACCGGCCTAGAGGCATCGAAGAAGAAAGGTCTGAGCTATCTGTTTCCATAAAGATGACAATAAGGAAAAGGCTATGGATGAGTGCATAACTCTGTACCACATCTGAACCACTGAATTGTATGGTACATGAATGATACGTCGATGAAACTGTTTTGAAAATTGCTATGGAACACAGTTGGACTCTACCGCATGGGGTGGCCATGGGCTGGTGCCAGTTTGAAGGAAACAGGTTGATTTTGAAACATCTTTCCCAAAATCGGTTTCAAAAGGTTGGTGGTTCAGATCCACCCAGAGACACCTCAGATGAAAATCCTGGCAATCTCCTTCCAAAAGGTCATAGCTGTTGAAAACCCTGTGGAGTCCAATTCTACTGCCGCCCACTTCTATGTGTGTGTGATCGAAAGTAGGAGAGAAAAGGCAAATGTCAGGTGCTTTTATTCTACGATAGATGGAACCAAGGAACTTCAGGAAGTCAACCCTAAAGTTTGGAGGTCTTGGCTATACAATTTGAGAAGTATCATTAGATTGGGGAAGCGTTTTCCAAATAAGCAGAGACAAAGCTCTGTCTTCACGAGACTCTCAAGAATCTTTATTTACCAGGAAACCAAGAAAATAATTTCAAATCCTATCTAACTATAATTACTGCCACCAGGATGATTTCCCAAAGATGTGTTTGTGACGTGGCAAGGAGCCGGTTCGACCCAGAGCAACCCTGTGTGCAACAGAAAGAACCGCTGCCCGGTCCTGCGCCAGCCTCACGATCGTGGTTAGGGCTGAGCCCACTGGAGCAACTGAGGGGCTTCCTCTGACCATCTTTTTTATTCCATCTTGTGGAGGGGCTTCCTCGCTTTCACAGACCCTCCACTCTTACCAAGCTATTTTCCAGGGACTGGGCTCTCCTGATAACATGTCCAAGGGAAGGGAGACAAAGTCTCACCAGCCTCACTTCCAAGGAGTATTCAAGTCATACTTCTTCCCAGACAGATCCGCTCGTTCTTCTGGAAGTCCACAGTGTTTTCAATCTTCTTCAGCAACACCATAATTCAAACGCACCAATTCTTCCACGATCTGCCTTCTTCGCCGTCCAGCTCTCACCTACATATAGGAGGCGACTGGAACGACCATAGTGAGCCAAGCACACCTTAGTCTTCGAGGTGACATCTCAAAATAGCCCTCAATAAAATAATGTCCAATCTGCTATAGTTTAAAAATCTATTTTGCAAGTTAAAGAAAAAAGGTTATTGAGGTGGGGGGAGGAATGTTCACAGGCATTAGAAACTTTAGAGCAATTTTCAAAGCCACAAAAATAAAGAAACTTTGTCTACACACATATCGAAACAGCACTCATGCCATAGTTTATGCACTAGATATTAGCATTTAAGACTCTTGCAGGCAGAAGAATCTGGCATGAACTCTTTTTTAAAGCTTTTTATTGCGAATTAGGTCAAGGTTTACATAACAGATAGTTTACATTCAGCAATTCATACATATCTTGTTTCAACCCATCCTTTGCAGCCCGCTCAGTGAACCACACTTATCCCACTCCCTCCCTATATTTATGTTTCCATTCCCCGTTCTTTCCTAACCCTGAACTTGATCCTTGGGTCAATGTTGTCCTTTTGGTCTTACATGGCCAATTATTTGAACACAAGAGTGAATTCCGTTCCGGACCTGACTAAGGGGTCCCGACCAGTCTCTTTCTGACCAGTAAGCTTGGTCTCGTATGATTTTGCATTTTGTTCCACATTTTTCTCCCACTCTGTCCAGACCCTTCCAAAGTGCTCCCTTTCAGAGCAGTTGGTAGTGATGGCAGGGCACCCATCTAGTTCTTCCGGTCTCAGAGACTGATGTTTACATGGTCCATTAGTCTACGAGACTGACTATTTGTTTCTGTTTGTCTTTTGGTTTTCTTTCCTCTGGTTGGGGAGAGATCTCGTTGCACCTTGTAGAGCATGGCCTCTGTGAACTGTATGCTATTGATTCATTGGCCCCTGACTCTATACCCGATCCCCCAAACTCAGCAATTCATACAAACAGACAATGTCAAATCGACATATACTCACTGGTATCCTCTCTCCTTCCCACATCTGTTCAGTCTGAGTGCCTACCCAAGTACCTACTTGTAGATAAGCACTATCACAAGATTGTCAGGGTGTGATGTAACAATGATGAGAAATACAACTTTCCTCTAGTTCCTAAATGTTTCCTCCCC